TAGCTGCCCAGGGAGCAAGCCCTGACATTCTGTGCACCCACAACTCTGGCAGAGAAGCTAGTTGCAAACACCAAGGATGACTGTTGGTCCCACTCACCAAGGAGCCCCCTGGTGGCCTCAGACAGGCCTCGCCACAGCAGGGGAACCAAACCGTACCCGGTGTGCTCACAGCAGGCAAAGTGGGTCACTGCACCCAGCTGGGCAGAAAGCAGTTGGGATTCAGCCACGGAAGCAGCCCATGCAGAGGACACCCCCAAAGCACATGGTCCGGGGACCAGGGCGGATTGCACTACAGGACACTGCAGGATCTCTTGTATCCAAGGCCACCACTTTCAAGACCGGGAGATATGGCTGACCTACCTAACATACAGAAACGAACACAGAGAGGTAGACAAAATGAGAAGACAGAAGACTATGTCGCAAATGAAAGAACAAGACAAAAATCACAAAGAGCTAAATGAAATAAACAATATGCTTGATAAGGCATTCAGAGTTAAAAATATATATATATATAATAAAAATATTATATATATAATTTTAAAAAAGAATTCAAAGTAATAGTCATAAAGATACTCCCTGGACTTAACAAAAGAGCAGATGAACTCAATGAGTACTCCAACAAAGAACTCAAAACATGAGTGGCCCTGGGTGGCTCAGCTGGTTAAGCATCTGACTTTGGCTCAGGTCATGATCTCACAGCTCATGAGTTCAAGCCCCATGATGGGCTCTGTGCTGACAGCTCAGAGCCTGGAGCCTGCTTCAGATTCTGTGTTTAACTCTGTTTCTGCCCCTCTCCTGCTCATGCTCATGCTCTTGCTCACTCTCTCTAATAAATAAACATTAAAAAAAATTTTGTAAAGAAACTGAAAATATGAAAAACAAGTCAGAGATGAAAAACTCAGTAACTGAAATTCTAAAATACACTAAAGGGAATCAACAGCAAATTAGAGGATATAGAAGAATGAATCAGTGATCTGGAAAATAGGGTAATGGAAAGCAACCAAACTGAAGAGAAAAAAAAAAGAATTAAAATGAGAATTAAAAAAAAATGAAACCATAAAATTCCTATAAGAAAACATAGGCAGTAATCTCTTGGGCATCATCCTTAGCAATGTACTTATGGATAGATCTCTTCAGGCAAGGGAAATAAAAGCAAAATAAACTATTGGGACTACACTGAAGTAAAAAGTTTTTGAACAGCAAAAGAAACTATCAACAAAACTAAAACCTAGTGAATGGGAGAAGATATTTGCAACTGGCGTATCCAAGAAGAGGGTTAATATCCAAAATATGTAAATGTATACAACTCAACACCAAAAAACAATCCAATTAAAAAACAGGCAGAAGACCTGAATCCTTCCAAAGAAGACATACAGATGGCAAACAGATACACAAAAAAAGATGTTCAACATCACTAATGGTCAGAAAAATGCAAATCAAAACCACAATGAGATCTCACCTCACTCCAGTCAGAAGGGTGTCAAAAAGGCAAAAAATAACAAGTATTGACAAGGATGTGGGAAAAAGGGAAATTTTGTGCACTGTTGCTGGGAACATAAACCAATTTACATTGGTGCAGCCACTGTGGAACATAGTATGGAGGCTCCGCAAAAAATTTAAAATAGAAATATCATATGATCCAGTAATTTCACCACTGGGTATTTATCCAGGGAATACAAAAACACTAATTTGAAAAGATATGAGCACCCCTAGACTTGTTGCAAAATTATTTACAGTATCCAAGATATGGAAACAACCCAAATGTCCATAAATGAATGGATGGATAAAGAAGATTTGGTATTGGGGTGCCTGGGTGGCTCAGTCAGTTGGGCATCTGACTTCAGCTCAGGCCATGATCTCACAGCTTGTGGGCTCAAGCCCCACATCAGTCTCTGTGCTGACAGCTCAGCACCTGGAGCCTGCCTTGGATTTTGTGTCTCCCTCTTCCTCTGCCCCTGCCATGCTTGTGTTCTCTCTCTCTCTCAAAAATAAATAAATAAACTTCAAAGAAGAAGAAGAAGAAGAAGAAGAAGAAGAAGAAGAAGAAGATGATTTAGTATACATATACAATGGAATATTATACAGCCATAAAAAAGAACGAGGCCTTTTGATCTGTGACAACATGAATGGACCTAGAGGGTATAATGCTAAGTGAAATTAGACAGAGAAAGACAAATACCATATCATTTAAGTTATATGTAGAATCTAAAAAACAAAACAAAGGCAAAAAAATAGACTCTTAAATACAGAGAACATACTGGTGGTTGCCAGAGAGGGGGTGGGGGAGGGGATGGGTGAAGTAGACAAAGGGTATTAAGAGGTACAAACTTCCAGTTGTAAAATAAGTCAGAGAGATGTAAAGTACAATATAGGAAACATAGTGCATAATATTGTAATAATGTTGTATAACAGATGGTGGCTACACTTACTGTAGTGAACACTGAGTAATGTAGGTATAGATTGTCAAATCAATACGTTATATACCTGAAACTAACATAGCATTGTATGTTAATTACACTTCAATTAAAAAAAAAAAACAAGGACTTGAGACCAAGAAGAGGATTTTGACCAAAGAGCTCTCAGAGTTAAATTTCTAAGTTTATAATTCTCCTTTAATAATAGAAATAGCATTTCTTATCATCATAGTAGCTAACATTGAGAACTTATTAAGTGCACAGCATTTTACATGGATTATTTCATACAGACCTCGGGACAGTTTTGATCTAGTCGTTATCCATATTTTACAGAAGAGAACCTGAAGCTTCAAGAAATTATCTAACTCATCGAAAGCCATTTCTGTTTAAATAGAAGTGGAATTCAAAGCAATCTGGCCCCAGAACTTACACCTTTTAGTGCTGGTCTATTGGCCTGTTCAAAAACTCATCAGAGCAAAATAACCCAAAAAGTTATAAAGCTTATCAAATAACTGTACCCAAGTAGCACTTATATGTATGTTTAATGTTAATCTAGAATAGGTAAAATTCAATGAGATATAGTAATTGAACATTTAATTCTCAGAATAGCACTAGAGAGTCCAAATATCTTTCAAAACAGCAACAAATTAAAGTTGTCTATTTGTCTATTTTATGCTCAGACCTCAAATCTAATTTTATTTTTTTTAATCTTTTTATTTTTGAGAGAGAGAGAGACAGACAGACAGACAGAGTGTGAGCAGGGGAGGAACAGAGAGAGAAGGAGACACAGAATCCCAAGCAGGCTCCAGGCTCCGAGCTGTCAGCGCAGAGCCCAACATGGGGCTCAAACCCACAGACTGCGAGATCATGACCTGAGCCAAAATCGGTCGCTCAACCAACTGAGCCGCCCGGGTGCCGCTCAAATCGAATTTGAAAAAAATGAGTTATTGCTATACACTAAATGTTTGTTTCCCCCCAAAAATGCATATGCTGAAATCTAATCCCCAATGTGATGGTATTAGGAGGTGGGGGGAGGGTCTTTCAGAGGTGACTAGGTTATGAGGGTAGAGCCCGCATGAATAGGATTAGTGCCCTGTGACAGAGACCCCAACAGCTCCCTTCTTGTGAGAACACAAGATGTCCATCTATGAACCAGGACGTGCCTTCTCACCAGACACTGAATCTGCCAGTTCCTGATCTTGGACTTTCTAGCCTCCGGAGCTGTGAGAAATAAATTTCTGGGGTTCATAAGCCACAGAGTCGATGGCATTTTGTCCTAGCAGCCCAAACAGACTGAGACAGTTATCTTCTAGGATTACACGTGCGTTGCTTTCGATCCAGCTACCGTGGTGATCTAGAACTTCTCTATTATCAATAAACTCCCCTTCCTCGCCAGTTTTTTCGGGGCAACTCCCTCTACTTCCTTACCTTAAATAAAAATGAGTTTTTCCCTGGTAATTCCACATTCCTTGAAACTTTGTAGGAGTCTGGCTGGAAGAAGTATAGGAAACCTCCAGGCTCCCACCCTGTTTACAGACCACCACTGTGACTCTTGTATCCATTTTGTTCTCCACTTTGTTTTTACCCACTTCGTTCTGGAGGCCACAGCCATCTTTTTTTCCTCCCCTCATTTGATATTTGTTCCATTTTCTGTCCTGGGATGACTGGACACGTGAACAGCAACTGAATTGTGATCTAATCCTCATGCTCCAGTCCATGGCAATGGAAGAATCCAGAGAACATTCCCCCAAGGTCGGGTTCAGTTCGGGTCATACTGTCTGATAGCCAGTCAGGCACAGTCTACCAGCCTCTCCACATGAAAGCAATTATTTGGATAAATTCTGTTGCCTGTGCCCAAATATGGACCCCCAATCTCAGGCAGGAATAAAGAACTGAAGTTTCCAACTGTATGCAGAAAATACCCTCAAATGTGAGGGGCGAATGATGCTGTCACCAACTACTACTGTTTTGCTAAACAGAAACATCTCAGACGGAAATTCCTACACCACTGCCAATTCCCAGCAGTTCAGGACTCTACTAGAATGCAGGTGATCTCCTGGCACAAAGAGAGGGTCTACCCTAGAAAGCAGAAACTACTTAAAAATCCCCTAACCTGCAGTGTCCCAACTTTAAGATGTTTTAATCCAACCTTCATATTCGTTTGAAAAAGTACACGCATACAATCGGATACAATCACATACAAACACATCAGAAATAATAGATCTTAAATTTTTAAGTTGATAGAATTAGTAGACATGTTAATTTTCTTCTATGTTTAATTTTCTATTCCTTGTGTACTGATTACTCTGAAAGGGGGGCGGGGAGGAGGTGGGGGAAATGTCTTTGAAAGGGAAAGACTTACTGTGCACAAATAAAAAGTCCACAAAAAGAAAAGAATAAAGCATCTTCAAGGCCTCCCTTATATTCATTTCCACTGCAACTGAACTTTCCTTTAACCCACACGTCCCAACAGTCTCTCCTGTACTCTCCCTAACTCCAGACTTTCCCCTCTCCATTAGTTTTCCATCTGCACTGAAACCAGAGGAATTTGTTTGTGTATCTTTTTCCCTCCTTTAAAATTTAAAGTCATGTATTTATCCGTTTGGTGTAGGCAGAACAGAGCTCTCATATGACTATCATTAGAATACAGTTAACATGTATACGGGTGGCACTGAGATCTCCACATAATTGTTTTTTCCCCTTTCCTGGCCTTTTGTTGCCAGGCTCTGGAAATTCACACGGCTCCTCCTTGGTCCCAATCTTCATTCTTTGATACTTAGAGAGACTATCATTCTCCATTCAATCACTAAGGTTCTGCTGAGCATACACCATGTGCTGAGCACCAGGATACAGCCTAGATACACAGCAGTGCACAAGAAAGACCCCCTCCTGCCTTCATGAAGCTCCCACTCACAGCTTCCGCTTTTCCAAAAATTCCTGCAAGCTGCCAACCTATCCACACGACTCCAGGTACACCTCATATACTGTGCATTCTTATAGCATTCTAAACAAAATTTCATTGTATAGATATCTAGGTTACATACAGTGAAATCTACCAGTTTTAAGTGTGAACTTTGGTAAGTGTGACAAATATAAAGCTGTGCAGCCAACGTATCAGTCAAGGTAGATGACACTTTCATTACCCGAACCATATCCTTAAGCGAGTCACCCCCCATCCAACCTGCCCTTTGGCAACCACTGCTTTGTTTTCTGTCTTTGTGGTATTTTTCCCCTAGAATTTCATATAAATATATGATGTATGATGCATATAGTATAATTTCATATAAACATATGATGTATGATGCATACAGTATATATTCTTTTGTATATGGCTTTTTATTTATTTTTTTAAAATGTTTGTTAGTTTTAAGAGAGGGAGAGAGAGCATGAGCTGGGGAGGGCCAGAGAGAACAGGGGACAGAGGATCCGAAGCAGGATCTGCACTGACAGCAGTGAGCCCAGTGTGGGGCTCAAACTCCCCAACTGTGAGATCATGACCTGAGCTGAAGGTGCACGCTTTAAACAACTGAGCCATCCAGGCACCCCAATGTTTTTTTATATCTTTGTCTATTTTTGAGAGAGAGAGAGCACATGACAGCAGAGTAAGGGCAGAGAGAGAGGGAGACAGAGGATCCAAGGTGAGCTCTGCACTGACAGCAGAAAGCCCAATGTGGGGCTCGAACTCACAAACCATGAGATCGTGACCTGAGCCAAAGTTGGATGTTTAACCAACTGAGCCACCCAGGGGCCCCTTATTTTTCTTTTTCTTAAAGTCACTTAATATGGTGAAAAACCAGCTTAATTTCCACTATATTAGTCTCCTGGGGCTGCCACAACAGAATACCATAGACTGAGTGGCTTAAACCACAGAAGTTTATTATCGCACCTTTCGGAGTCTGGAAGTCCAAGATCAAGGCACTAGCAGTGCCTCTCTTCCTGGCTTGCAGACATCCATGCTTTTCCCTAGTTCTCACACGGCCTTTCCTCTGAGCAGGTGCAAAGAGAAAGATCTCTAGTATCTCTTCCTCTTCTTAGAAGGACATCAATCCTATGGCATCAGGGCCACATCCTTATGACCTCACTTAACCTTATTCTCCAAAGACCCTATCTCCAACTACAGTTACATTGGGGGTTTGGGCTTCAACATAAGAATTTTGGAGGGGACATAATTCAGCCCATAGTAGTCATGATGTATTATTATTATTATTATTATTATTATTATTATTATCATCATCAGATATTGCTGGATTTAATTTGCTAAAATTTTGTTCAGGATTTTTACATCTGTATTCATGAGCCATCCTGGTAATGCAGTAATGCCTTTGATTTTGGTATCAAGGTGATGGTCGCCCCAAAGAATAAATTGTGAAGTCTATCTTTCTCTTCTAATTTTTAGAAGGCTTTTTGTAAAAACTGATGCTGTTTTTCTGAAAATGTTAAGTAGAATTCACCAATGAATTCAACTGGGACTAGAGTTTTCTTCTGTTTTTTAAAATTTTTTTTAAGATTTTTATTTTTAAGTAATCTTTACACCCAATATGGGGCTTGAACCCACAACACCAAGATCAAGAGTTGCCTGCTCCCCCAAAACGAGCCAGCCAGATGACCCTGGAGTTTTCTTTTGGGGAGGATTTTAAACTGTGAATTTAATTTCTTTAATAGATATAGCCTATCCAGGTTATCTATTTTTTTCTTTATATAACAGCTTTATTGAGCTGTAATTCACATACCATATTATTCACCCATTTAAAGTGTACAATTCATGGGGCGCCTGGGTGGCGCAGTCGGTTAAGCGTCCGACTTCAGCCAGGTCACGATCTCGCGGTCCGGGAGTTCGAGCCCCGCATCAGGCTCTGGGCTGATGGCTCGGAGCCTGGAGCCTGTTTCCGATTCTGTGTCTCCCTCTCTCTCTGCCCCTCGCCCGTTCATGCTCTGTCTCTCTCTGTCCCAAAAATAAATAAAAACGTTGAAAAAAAAAAAAAGAAACAAACTGATGGTTACCAGAGGGTAGGCAGTGGGGCGGGGAGGGGGCGGGTTTTGATATGGGGATGGGGATTAAGGAGTGTACTTGTCATTACTTCTTGGCCTTTTGGCTAAGATCAAGTGTAGAAGTGCACTTGTCATAAAGAGCACTGAGTAATGTGTGGAACTGGTGAATCACTATGTTGTATAGCTGAAACTAATATGACAGTTAACTAGAATTACAACTTAAAAAATAATGAATAACATAATACTACTAACAAAAGATACTTAATAGAAATGCTTGCTCAGTAAATGACAAAAATATCGCCAAGTAGCAAAGGATCTATACCACTTGCTGGGTGGTTAATTCAGGATTTGAAGCCCTGAACTTCGACTCCACGACCTAAGAATCCTCCAAATACTAGTATTCTGTAATTCAATGACTAAGGGATGAAGGGCGCCAATTTTAATTTAATACTAACTGCTTATTATAACAATCATAATAAATATCTATTTGCAGGGAGAACTACCAGCAGGTGTCTTTAAAATATGAGTAAAGTAGGGGATCCAGGTGGCTCAGTCAGTTAAGCACCCGATCCTTGATTTTGGCTCAGGTCATGATCTCACAGTTCATAAGTTCAAGCCCCACATCCGACTCTGTGCTGACAGTGCAGAGCCTACTTGGGATTCTCTCTCTCTCTCCCTCTCTCTCTCTCTCTGCCTTCCCCCCCTCACTCTCTTCTCTCTCAAAATAAATAAGTAAACTTAAAAAAAAATTTTTTTAAAGATAAAGAAATTCTTTAAAAAATACATGAAGTATAATATATAAAGGCAAGAAATTGAAATATGATTCAGCAAAATTTTGAGTTGTAAATATTGCTTAAGGAACTAGCCTCAAAATGAGAACGCAGATTAAACTTGGCATTTCAAACCCAATGTCTCCAAATTAAATCACCAGTATCCCAACCGTATGTCAAAAAATGGGACTGTTAAATAATGCACATTTCAATTCAAAGGCTTTCATCTGGATAAATTGAGCCACAAACTATTATTAATACTCTGCTCCTCCGTATTTCAACAGCAATACCCTAGGGTATACAAATATCTCTCTCAATCTCCTGGCCTAACTCTCGGAAAACTACACAGCACGTACCCTTAACCAAGAACAATATCTATACTTTTTATTGTTGAGAACATCAATCTCACTGCTCCCCCTAACCAAAAACAATCTAAGATTTTATTTACATATTTTAACAAACATCTGCCCCAAATATAAATCTGTCCCAAAAATAGTCTGCTCTTAGAGACATGTCACATAAAAGAAGTTTTCACCAGAGAACAAGTAGATGTTTTACTAACAGACTTTCCAGGATTAGAAAGCATGTTGGTAGAAAGGATGATGGCAATTGTTAGAAAGTATGATGTAAAGGATTTTTCCCTCACTCTAACACAGACTCATTGTGAGACACCGGACTGGTCACCCAGCTTCAGTTTCCTCCCTCTAAAGTAAAGGGGTTGGCCGGAACTGAAGCAATGGTCACTGGAAAACTTGATCCGAAAACGAGTCCCCTCCCCCACAAAGCTCCCGGATCAAATAAGATTAAGAAATGCTCCATCCTACAACAATGCACAGCGGGACACTTGCCAGTCTGACAGGCAAGGTGAGGTTCAGCCGAAACTGGAGCAGAGGTCACCACGGAATCTGGAATCGGAAAACAGCCTGCTGCTTCCAGGAAGGCAAATACGCTGA